ATATATTTTTATTAATTTCAGAGAGGAAGGGAGAGGGATAGAGAGATAGACACATCAATGATGAGCGAGAATCATTGATCAGCTGCCTCCTACCCAGGCATGTGCCCTTGGCCAGAATCGAACCTGGGACCCTTCAGTCTGCAGGCCAATGCTCTATCCAGTGAGCCAAACTGGCTAGGGCGGTCCATGTACATTTATTGTAAAAATGACCTAAGGGGGTGCGCTGGCCTGGAGGCTGTTGGTTGGAGCATCCTCCCAATGAACTATGGTTGTGGGTTTGATCTGGGATCAGGGCACATAACATGAGTCAACCAATAAATACATGGATGTGTGGAATGACAGATCGATGCCTCTCTCTGTAAAAAAAAAAAATCAATAAAAGTGACCAGAGAGAGAAAAAATAGCTTGTAGAAATCATATTTAGTAAAAAGTAATTTACATTTTATATTGTTATACAGTTATATACACATTATTTAAGTAGCCGTAAAGATTGTGGCTCTAGTGAAAGACTATGAAAAGAACTTAGAATAAAATGGAGTACCCAAGTGGACTAAGAATCCTATCAAGAAAGTAGAAAAGGCATGAAAGGATGTACTCCAGCCCAACTATAGTGGTTACCTCTGGAAGGGAATTTGCATCAGGTATAGGTAAAGGGACTTGATGAATCACTTAATTTTTGAGTTTGTAGTAAGGGTACCTCTATTATGTAACTAAAAATTTTAAAAAATTAGGCCCTGGCTGTGTAGTTCAGTTGGTTAGAGCACTGTCCCGATACTCCAAGGTTTTCGGGATCAGGGTACATACAAGATTCGATCAATCAATCAATGCATAAATAAGAGGGACAACAAATCTTAATCTCTCTCAAATCAATCAATAAATGAAAATATTAAAAAATAAATAAAAGGTTAAAGAAATAAGTCTGCAGAATATCACCCTTTTTGTTCCCCCTAAGAACGTGAAAAGATAGAACTCTGCTGTGTAGTTCAGTTGGTTAGAGCACTGTCCCGATACTCCAAGGTTTTCGGGATCAGGGTACATACAAGATTCGATCAATCAATCAATGCATAAATAAGAGGGACAACAAATCTTAATCTCTCTCAAATCAATCAATAAATGAAAATATTAAAAAATAAAAGTTTAAAGAAATAAGTCTGCAAAATATCACCCTTTTTGTTCCCCCTAAGAAAGTGAAAAGATATATCTTTCTGATAAGGTAGTCAGAGCTCAGCTACTGATTGGAGACTGCCCACTAAGTCTTCCGCAGCTGAGGGAGAGCCTTAGCACTAGGTGATGTACGTAGGTAGATTTTAGTGCCGCTGTACTTTTTATTTTTTATTTTAATTAAACTTACTGGGGTGACATTGTTTGACATGATCACATAGGTTTCAGGTGTGGGTTTCTATGTTACAAGATCTATATTTCACCGTGTGCCCACCACCCATTTTATTTTAGAGAGAGTGGAAAGGAGCGAGGGGTGAGACAGAGAAAGAGAAACAAAGAAATCACTGTGAGAGAGACATTGGTTGCCTCCCGCATGCACCCTGACCAGGATTGGGGATCAAACCTGCAACCAGGTATGTGCCCTTGCCAAGTAATTGAACCCGAGACTCTTCAGTGGAGTACAGGCCAGTGCTCTAACCACTGAACACACCGGCCAGGGTGTTATTTTTTAACTTTTTAAAAATTTATTTTAGAGAGAGGAAGGGGAAGAGAGAGAGTGAGAGAGAGAAGAAACAAACAGCCCGAGCCAGTTTTGCTCAGTGGATAGAGCGTAGGCCTGTAGACTGAAGGATTCCGGTTAAGGGAAGGTACCTCGGTTGCAGGCTCCTCCCTGGCGTGGGCTCTGGTTGGTGCTCATGCAGGAGGCAACCAGTTGACACCAATGTCTCTTACTGTCTTTCCCTCTCTCCTCCACTCTTCCTAAAAGAAATCAATGGAAAAATATCTCCTGGTGAGCATTAACAAAAGAAAAACAAAAACAAACAAACACATCAATGTGAGAGAAACATTGATCTGCTGCCTCCCATATATGCCCTGACTGGAATCAAACCCTCCACCTTTTGATATATGGGAATATGCTCCAGCCAACTGAGCCACACCTGCCAGGGCTAAGGGATCTATTTTAAAAATACTCACAGTGGCCCTAGCTGGTGTTTCTCAGTGGTTAGAGCAGGGGTGGGCAAACTTTTTGACTCGAGGGCCACAATGGGTTCTTAAACTGGACCGGAGGGCCGGAACAAAAGCATGGATGGAGTGTTTGTGTGAACTAATATAAATTCAAAGTAAACATCATTACATAAAAGGGTACGGTCTTTTTTTTTTAGTTTCATTCATTTCAAACGGGCCGGATCTGGCCCGTGGGCCGTAGTTTGCCCACGGCTGGGTTAGAGCATCGGCTGCACACCAAAGGGTCTCGAGGACAAGTACTGGGTTTTGGGTTCCATCCCCAGGTTGGGGTGTGTGGGGGAGACAACCTGTTGATGTTTCTCTGGCCCCCTCCCTCCCACTCCTGAAAAGCAATGCAAAAAATAGCTTCAGATGAGGATTAAAAAAAAAAGTTACAGTGTTGGCTAAAACGATTCCCTGCCTCCTGTCGGCGGGCAGTCCAGTGTCTCCCACTGGAAACTGCTGCATGCCTCCCTTCCTCACCCAGGTGACCCGCTCCGCTTCCATGCCCACTACATCGCCCAGTGCTGGGCTCCTGGGGACCCCATCCCACTCCAGGACCTGGTGTCTGCCGGCCGCCTGGGAACCAGTGTCAGGAAGACGCTGCTCCTCTGTTCTCCGCAGCCTGATGGTAAGGTGGTCTACACCTCCCTGCAGTGGGCCAGCCTGCAGTGAACTCCAGAGACTTACAGGGTGTGGCTGTGTCTGGGGCGAGAGCCTATCTGCCTGGTCCCAAGTTCATCTCTGTGTGGGAGACGAGAACACCTTCCTACCTCTGCCTACGGCTAGTGTTTGATTCCAGATTTATAAACACTACATCCTCCTTGTGTCCCTCCATGTTTCAAAGCACTTACAGGCTGTGTTGTTTTTGTAGTTGTTTTCAAACTGTGAGCTTCTTGAGAGTGAAGACTCGGTTTGATTCATCTCTGTTTTCTACAGGGCTCAGGTCCCAGGAGATCTCAATAAACTTGTTGAATAAATGTGGAGTTTGTGATTTGAATCCTTAGGACAGTCCTGGGGAGTGTGTCTATTTGCATATGCAAAAGTCTGGAGGAGGGGAAATGACTTGCCCAAAGTCACACAGCTAGTAAGTAACAGGGCTGGGTTTTAAAACCTGGTCTTTCTGACTCTGAACAAAGTCTGAGCTATTCCCACCGTGTTAAACTTCCTTTTGAAAATATTTTAATGAAACATTTCACATGCATCCTATATAATAAAACCCCAATATGCAAATTGACTGAACAGCAGAACAACTGTTATGATGTGCACTGACCACCAGGGGACGCTCCTGAATTGAGTGACTACCTCTCCACCCCAGAGGGAGGCAACCGGCAGCAGTGGCAATGGGGGGTGGGGGAGAGGTGCTGGCCAGCGGGCGCCCCACCCACCAGTCGCCCCACAGATGGCCCTGATCACCAGCCAGGCCTAGGGACCCTACCCTATATATTGGGAACAGTCTCTTAGATTTAAAAATTAAAACCTGGCAAGGCTACTCTAACACTGAAAAAACAGATGATGCAGCGATGACCTGCATGGTCTCTGGCTTGCACATTTTGTGGTCAGCCCTGCTTCTGACACTTACAACTGTGTGATGAAGCCAACTACTTAACTTCTCTCTGCTTCAGTTTTTCTACCTAAAAGATGGGGAAAATGGTACTACTGCTTCAGAAGGATCATGTTATGTACTTTTTATAATCAGGGCAAAAAAATGTAGCTGCCCATACAACAGCAAGATGTCTTTGACCTGTATGAAAATTATGGTCACTGGTGCATGCAGCATCCTGAATTGTGAGAGAGTGCAGGCTGGGCTGAGGGACACTCCCCCCACCCCCATGCATGAGTTTTGTGCACTGGGCCTCTAGTATGTAAATAAAAATAATGCATGAAGAGAAGAAGGAGATGAATGTTGTTTCAGAACAGGGGTTTAGAAAGGGGAAGAGAATCTCAGGAAATGCTCTTGGGTCTTCTGGAATAGCATACATTTATATTCTAGCTCCTTTATTATTATTTTTTAAATATATTTTCATTGATTTCAGAGAGGAATGGAGAGGGAGAGAGAGAAACATCAGTGATGAGAGAGAATCATTGATTGGCTGCCTCTTGCACACTCCCTACTGGGGATGGAGCCCACAACACGGGCATGTGCCCTTGACTAAAAACAAACCCCAGACCCTTCAGTCCATGGGCGGACGCTTTATCCATGGGACGGGGGTGGGCAGATGGATGAAACAATGATCCCTGTAACAGTGCCAGGGCCAGGACTTGATTAGAAACGGATAGCTTCCCTAATTTTTGTCCCTGGTTCCAATTTAAGATCAAGAGAAAGCCAAGCCCTGGCTGGTTTGGCTCAGTGGATAGAGCATCGGCCTATGGACTGAAGGGTCCCGGGTTCGATTCTGATGAAGGGCACATGCTCAGGTTGCAGGCTCGATCCCCAGTAGGGGGCATGCAGGAGGCAGCCAATCAATGATTCTCTCTCATTGATGTTTCTATCTCTCTCCCTCTCCCTTCCTCTCTGAAATCAATAAAAAATATTAAAAAAAATGTTTTCAGATAGCATACATGAAAATAGCCCACCTCCAGCTTTCCCCAGGCCAACAGCCTCCAATCAGGGCACACCTGGTGTGGCTCAGTGGATGAGGGTCCATCCAGGAACCAAGAGATCCTGGCTGATTCCTGATCAGGGCACATGCCTGGTTTGCAGTAAGGGGGAAGAGTGGGGCACAGCAGGCAGCCAATCAATGATTCTCTCTCATCATTGATGTTACTATCTCTCTCCCTCGCTGTTCCTCTCTGAAATCAATAAAAATATTAAAGAAAACAACAACAGAGTGTGTGTGTGTGTGGGGGGGGTGGGGTAGGGGGTAACGTGGGGATAAGGACACACATGTAATAACTTAAAAATATTTAAAAAACAAACAAAAAATAAAACTGTACCTCTTTTGCATTAGAAAACCCTTCTGCCTGCCTTGGAGTCTGCTAAAATGCAAGTGATGATTGATGCTCTCACTCTGAATAAATATCCTTTGCTTGTTTTCACTTATTTCCACATTGTACAGTCTTGCACATATTCTATAACCATCTTTTGGTGCCTCCAGACGGTCCCTGTGAAATACGATTGATAACAGTGTTAGTGCTCTTTAATGAGGCCGGGCAACTTCTCCGAGAGTGCTCATAAGCATGCATGCATTGAGGATTAAATACATTAATTCATGTAAAATTCTTAGAACAGTGCTTGCTGTGCAGTAAGCATTTCAGAATGTCACCTATTATTTTTAATACAATCATGGGCCACTAGAATCCTTAACACCCAGACAGTGTTTGGCCCAAAGCCTAGCACATTTAAAGAGCTCAATAAACATAACCTAACAAGCAAGGCCCCATGGTGTGAATGGGACTATTCCAGGGAGAAAAGGACCAGAGAAAATAACCCAGAGGGTAAGATGTGGGTAAAGGAGATAAAAACTGCCAATTCCTCCAGGTGACAAATGGTGTCAGGTGGAGCAGACTATGCAGGGAGAGGTTTCCAACAGTCACCCCGTCCTGGGAACCAACCTCAGAAATAGGAACTGCTGCCCTAGCCTGTTTGGCTCAGTGGATAGAGCCTCGGTCTGTGAATCAAGGGGTCCTGGGTTCGATTCCAGTCAAGGCATGTATTTAGGTTGCAAGCTCCTCCCTGGCTGGGACCAGGGACCCTGGTCCGGGTGCGTGTAGGAGGCAACCAATCCATGTGTTGCTCTCACATTGATGTTTCTTCCCCTCTCTTCCACTCGCTCTAAAAATCAATGGGAAAAATATTCTCGGGTGAGGATTAAAAAAAATTAAAAATAAAAAAGAAATTGCTATCTGGGGAAAGAGGCACCAGCCGCCCTGGAGGATGGTTCAGTTGCTGAGAGCATCGTCCTGAAGCGCCAGGGTTGCAGGTCCCATCCCCGCCCTGGGCACAGGCGGAATCAACCAGTGAGTGCATGCAAGTCGATGTTTGTCTTCTTTCATTTCTAAAAATCCACAGAAAATTAGAAGGGGAAAAAAATAGGCACAAAGCTTTTTTATCCTTGGGTCTTATGTTTAAAAAAAAAAAAGAACGCCCTCTCCTCAGAGTCCGCCGGAACCATCCTATGGGAAGTACCATTTCCCCTCAGTCATTATTAGTAATTTATATTTTCTTCGTGGCTCCCGCTCCGAAGGGATTTACTTCCTTCAATTTCCTATTTTTTTCCGTTCCCCTGAGACTCTAAGCTCCGTGAGCAGAGGCTGGCTGTGCATTCCCGGCTCCGTCACCGTGAGGAGCAAATACTGGCGCCCGCGGAGGGAGGGCGGCCGTCCGGAGGCAGCCGGAGCCGCTGGCTTCGGGGTGACGTTCTGAGGAAAGAACGACGACTTCATTGTTCACCGAATCCACGGAGAATCTTCTGGAAGAAGCTGTGAGCCCCGTGAGAGGGAGCCGGCTGAGGTCTAGAGAGGGCGGCGGCAACGCCTCCAGCATTGCAGCGACTCGGAGGCCAGCAGGCGGGACTTAGGGCACCACCAGGGGGCGGAAGAGGCTCCCCACTTCCGGAGTCATCGGTGCCCCGAGTCCCTGTCAGGCCGAGAGCAACGGGCCCCGGTTTATTAAAGCCGCTCTCGCCCCGCCTCTCGTCTCCACAGCGGGGCCGCCCGCCAACGCCTCTTCTGATTGGTGCAGGCCGGCGCCGTGCGCGATGACGTCACGCGACGGCGGCGTTGCTATAAAAGCGCGGCCGGGGCGCGTGCGCTCCTCTTTCTCAGCCGGGTCCGCGCTTGGGTTAGGTGGGTTGCCGTGCTTCCTGGTTCTGGTGTGGGTTGTAAGGCCGCGTGGGCCTCTCAAACTCGGATAAAAACAGTGGAGAGGTTGGGGCGGGCGGTGAGAGGAGGATGGCTGGACAGGACGGCGACACGTTTGTGGAGTGAAGGCGGTTCTGGAAGCTTTGGGGACGTTCTCGCGAGATCTTCTCTTGGGCGCCACGGGATTCTAGCGTAGTCGTGGGACCGCGCAGGCGCCAAGCGCGTTACTCACCGTCGCGTTTCTCTCCTGCGCAGGCGGAGCAGCGCCGCCAACATGCCCGTGGCCCGGAGTTGGGTTTGTCGCAAGACCTATGTGACCCCTCGGAGACCCTTCGAGAAGTCCCGCCTCGGCCAAGAGCTGAAGCTGATCGGAGAGTATGGGCTCCGAAACAAGCGTGAGGTCTGGAGGGTCAAATTCACCCTGGCCAAGATCCGCAAGGCTGCCCGGGAGCTGCTGACGCTCGACGAGAAAGACCAGCGGCGTTTGTTTGAAGGTGTGTGTGGGAGCCCACAGGGCAGCCATGAGGTGCGGAGCCACTGCGGTTCTTGTAGGCGTACCTGTCCAGTGGTCAGTGTTAAGTGGATCCTTGGCGTTTAATGGGAACCCGGGAGGGGGCGGGCGGGGGCGTGGAGAAGTGGCTCTGGATACACTGTCCCTTATGAGTGATAATGGAGGTTAGTTTACTGTTGACCAAAATCAATAATGCCCGCCAAGCTGGGACACCTGGTTATAGCTCTGTGTGTATGTGTGTGTGTATAATGTGACATGGTTCTGGTGGGGATAGACAGTGAAATTTCTGATGGTGACTGCGGGGAGGGGGACTTGGCTGTGTACATTTGCCTGCTTAAATAAGGCGGTCAGGGACATTCAGGTGAGCTTTAGCAAAGGCCTGAACAGGAGAGGACTGTGGATATCACAGGGAAGACATTTAGACTTTTGCTCAAGGTCTTAATTTTCTACTTTGAGATGGGAAGTTAGTGGAAGATGGACACGATCACACCCCAATTTTTTTAAATATATTTTTTATTGACTTTTACAGAGAGGAAGGGAGAAGGATAGAGAGTTAGAAACATTGATGAGAGAGAAACATTGACCAGCTGCCTCCTGCACACTCCCTCCTGGGAATGGGCCTGCAACCAAGGTACATGCCCTTGACCAGAATCGAACCTCAGACCC